TAAACTATTTTATAGAATTACTACAGGTCCTACCTTACTAAACACTAACGTCGGGATTTCCCAGTTCTAAACTTCATGAGATCCAGAGCTCAACTACTACATGTCTTGGGCGATGGGTCTTAAGATCCCAACCCAGCTATTTTTAGATAGCCAATCGGCTCCCAGCATTGGGGAGTGGCCTAATCTATTTATAATAGGGGGGTGGACTGCACCATTTTGTTACACTATATACAACAGATAAATATCATCTTGTCACAAAATATGAAAAACATTAAGATAAAAAAAAGCAACCAGTTGTAAAACAATTTAATAATAGTTTATTTAAAAAGACATTTACACACACACATACACACAGAAAAAGCAATGAATAATATTTATTAATTTATTGAATAATAATTTTTTTTTTAAACATTTTATACATTAAAAAAAATCAGTACATGTTAATCTGACAAGTATGATTAATAACTTGTTTTAATTATATTTTAAATATATATTGTTTGAAGGTTTGAATGGCGGAGTAATACTATATCAAATACTTGCGGTAGACCACGTATTGCAAGATAAAATATATTAACTAACTAGTAAAAGAAGAATAATACTGTACATGTTTTTATAATCTCATTTAATCATTTAATCATTTCAGGTTGATACTGGTTCTAGTTTTCTTCACATTCGTCTACACAAATCATTCCAAGGAGCAGTGACATTCTCTTCCATTCAAGATGGCAAAGCAGAAGCTGATGATTTAGCATATTTTTGAAACCTAACAGCCAAATTCCAACCTAATATTTACTAAGTTATTATTACTATTATCATTAAGGATATTAATAATTTAAAACAATATAATATCAATTTAAAAATAATCATGATTTGTGTTTGATTTTTGCAAGCTTTGTTAATAATATGACTTACTAGAAGCATTATAAAATACCTAATAAGTCATGTTATCAACATAACTTCTGCATTATCAACGATCTTGTGCTTCATGTCACAGATCACAGATCCTATATACAAATATAATAATATATATATAATATATATAATCTGTGATGTCATCAACATGACTTATTATATGCATTATCAAGTATCTTATAAGTCTTGTTATCAACTTATAACACTATCAAGGATCTTATAAATCTTGTTATTAACATGACTTATCGCATTATCAAGGATCGTATAAAAAAATCATTTTATCAACATCCATTATTAGCATTATCAAGGATCTTATAAATATGGCATGATATCGACATGACTTATAACATTGCCAAGGATCTTAAAAGGAATGATATCAACATGATTTGCTAGTATTATCTATCTATAATCTATGAAATTTATGTAATGTGCAGAGTGCTCAACTTAAATAGTTTTAAACAGTACACTGTTGTGCAGTTATACACTACTGGTACAACATTGGTATGCTTATAACGTTTGAAATAAAAATACTGTACAGTAATTTATGAAATCACAACTCATAGGGAAATTATTAAAAACAATACTAAAACTATTTGTATACTGTGTTCGTATACTAAAAATGTATATTCTGAATAAATAATTTAAAAAAAATGTGAAAAGAATTTACTGTAGTACTTTACACTTTTTTTGTTACGCTTGTTACGCTAGCATGTTTGTCATTTTACAAACTTTGTCCACACACTATCAAGTTTTATGTGACAAATACATGTAACATCATATTGTCACATACCGTAAAACCTCAAATAGAAGCCTCATAGGCCTCATCTCGAGAAGAAGCCCATCTCGAAATGAAGTCCCCCTCTTCCGTTTGCAAAAGTAATCTCGAAAAGAAGCCCATCTAAAAATGTGACTTCTAATAATATGGGCTTCTTTCAAGATAGTGCAGTACTTACATTCATACTGACTATCTTTGATTATTATGATAGCGTGACAGTATCAATATTATTTTATTGTCTTATGATGGTTAAAATTTTGAAGATGCTGAACACAATTTCGAATTCCGTAGTTGAAAAATGTGTAGCAGCAATTCCAAAAGTTACAGCATTCATTTTGAAAAAGAAGCCCTCCTACTTAGTTTGCACAAGTAATCTAAAAAAGAAGTGCATCTCGAAAAGAAGTACTATCCACCAAGAGTCCTGAAAAAGGAAGGAAGCCCAGTTTTACATTATACCTTTGCAGTGTGTACAGAGCTTTCAAGGGGTTTCAAAATGTTGGTCTTGAGAAATACTACAGCATAGTATGTACTGTTTGGTATGGAAAGTGATAAGAGTTTTCTCTAACCAGCCATCTGTCTGGAGTAGCACTTTCTATTTCTGTTCGAAACACTACACATAGCTGAGGATGATACAGCTGTCAGCCATCAACTTGAAACAAGTGGTATATGACTGAACATACATACCGTACCCTTGGGCTTCCTTCTTAGTACCATTGGTATCATGGGCAATTTTAAAATTGCAACATTTTTTTTTATGATACTGACAAGCTATCATAAGGCCAAAAAAAAATGTTTGTTTGCCCTCCTCACTCGCCCCTAACTCACTGAAAAAAATAGGGGCGGAAAAAGAGTTTTTTTTTGCTTTTTTTTTTACAAATTAAAAAATATGTAAGTGAATTTATCTTTATTTTTTTGCCAGATGCCCTACAAATTGTCTAAAGTTGTCTGATGTAAGATATTGCCATTCTAGGCCTCTGTGAGTTATTGTTTATATTCCATCTGATGAGTCTTTTAAAAAAGAAAAAAAAAATTCCACCCGCCCCTTTTTATCATTTAAAAAAAATAAGGGCAAACAAACAATTATTTTTAGGCCTTATTATCCATTTGATAATAACAGTCCAAAGTTGCTCTTCTCGAGATTAAGCCCATTGAGCTTTATTCGATGTTTTACCGTACTATACACACAGACATATAGTATGCAACAAACAAAACAAATTATTTACCTAGTAACTGACGTTGTTAATGGAGGAGAGAGATTCAAGGTTATTGTGACTAAAAGAGTGTATTGTGGTTTGAGATAAATTATGCTACACTGCCCTCAATCTACTATAGTATATCAACAGGAAAACAAAAGAAAATTGTTACATTCCATTCATGAAAAGCAAGATATTTCAAGCAGTAAAATAACGCAATTTTGTAACCAAACAATTACTATCTATCCATATTTGATTTGTTCAGATCCTTTCTATATTACTGTGTTGACACTTTGGGTACTAGACAAAGACCTCACTTTTCCAGTCATAAAAATAAATTTGGTCATGTTAAAAATATGATATTCACTCTCGAATGAATGCGTTATAAGAAGTGCCTGGATATGTAAATTTAGTATCATGAATTTTAATGAAATTTATTATCAATGTTGAACATGAACATATTTCCATTATATAATAGTATATAATTTTGTAACATTATCACAATACATCACATAGTCTGAATAGTTGACTATGTTTTCTTATCCTATAAAACATAAGTTATTTATACAGTAATTTTATCGATCTGTACCCCCTTGCTCATGAATAATTAGCTCCGCCTCTTTAATGTTTCGCGCACGCGTGAAAACTGGTAAACTCCGACTGTCAACATATTTAATCTGATTTTCTGTAATTTCTGGAAAAAGTGAGTATTTTATGATTATTTAAAGTATATATGATACATTTTATTTTCCAAGACAGCTTGCGTATATAAATCAATTAGCCACTGTTATGTTTGTCTTTGCCGAATGAATCAGTCGGTAGAAAAGATGATGAAGGCTGGCCCAGCGGCTGGGTTTCTTTTTTTCTGAGCGGTCGAGCAGCAGCAGGGTACAGGATTGTCATCAAAACGAGGTGGCGTTGATGTCCGGCGTGATAAGTCGCTCAATGCCTAGGCCTAGCCTAGGTCGTAGGTAGATGTTAGTGACTCGTCTAACCTTCGTTATTCAACCATTAGGTATGTAAACACACACAAAGCGAAAGCGTCGGTTACACCTAGGCCTAGGCTCTGAACCTTTTAGTACACCCACCAGCCTAACCCTAGCTAGGCTAGGCCCAATTAAGTGTTAGTGGGTAGCAGCTATCTAGGTAGGCGCACCTTGCTCTTTCGTTTGCCATTTTACTTTTCAGTAATCCTTAGAATTGTTTAGGGACTAGTTAGACATCTAGAGTAGTATACACAATCCAATGATTATTAAACAAAATGAAAGCACTTGTTTATTGCCTTGTCCTTGACTTTGGGAAATTATCATACATGGTCTTAACTGGTCTCAATTTCTTTTGGATATAAATTATCTGAAAAAAAAAAAGTTGGCGATAAAAGGCGACTCTCTGTACTGTAAGTACAGTACAATACAATACAATTACAGTATTACAAAACCCACATTTCCTTAATAATAAACAGTAAAAAAAAAATTAATGACCCACATTTCCTTAATAATAAACAGTAAAAAAAAAAATTAATGAAATAAAATGATAAATCGATATGATGTAACTTTCTGTGGAAGACAATATGGTGGCCATGTGTTAAAATTTGATGCTTAAAAACTCTGCAAATAACTTTTTTCTACTTCATTAAAAAAAATTGTTGGCATCTACTTTTTTGCGGACAAATTACATATTAAGATGTTGATTTTCATCCTATATAACTATCTCAAAGGTGTCGGGTCAAGCTAATCAAAACATATAGCAAAATTACAGTAGAACCCCTCATTTACGAACTCCGATTTTACGAATTCCCGATTTTATGAATTCCCGATTTTACGAATTCCCGATTTTACAAACATCAAATCATGTCATTGTTGTCATAAATAAAGTTCCTATTTCATGCACAAAACACACACCCGTGTCAAGAATTAATCGTTAGGCGCAGGCTGGAGTTTATTCACTCGGTTTTAAACGGTTTGCTGTACACAATCAGCGATCTCTATTACAATACAAAACGCAGATAGTGCGCTTAGGATACACCGACATTCAACACGGCGATCATACTTCATGTCTGCAGCCGTGAGAAAACTCCGCCCAATGCGTAAGATTTATTCATCTCTGAATACACCACCCTCATATCCATAATTTAATGAACCCTATAATTATGAATGGATTTTATTTATCAAATCTAACTAACGTAAATCTACCATTTCATTATTTCTCCCTTAAAAATAAGACACTGACACCCACATTTTCTTTTTAACTTGATTCATTTCATAAATGCAGGCGTAGAACAATCATATTGCATACAACAAAAAAAAGTCCAAGCACCGTGTCTACAGCCAATCAGCGTTCTTCTTTTGAAAAGTTGTGAACCCCTGGTTTCCGGGTTATTCTGTACAGGGTATTTACTTGACCCCACAAGCACATGGATCAAGTGAAAAACATTGTTGCGTTACTCGACCTGTTGCGGCGCCCGCTGGGCTGTTTCTTCGTAAGCTAGAAGATAAGTCATATTATTACCTGAGAAAGACAGAATAAAGTTTCTATACACATTAACAAGTATGTATAGTACTGTACATTATTATGATCATTATTTCGAATTTCTTTCGAGCGCAAGTTGGAGTTTTGGCTCCAATCCAACAAAATTTAAGTCCAGGCATAGCCTAGCCCAGCCTAGCATATTGGTAGTATAAATACATAGGAATTTCACATAACCCCGATTTTACGTACAAATGATTTTTACGAACACCTCTGGGCCCGTCCCATACGTAAATGAGGGGTTCTACTGTATTATTAAATAGCATGTCACAAAATCTAGAGACAGGCAGGATTACTCTTACAATAATTATCTGACCTTACAAAATGCCAATGATACCATCAGTAAATATCTTTTATCAGAAGTGTTGTTACAAACATCTTCATTCTGATTTAAGCTTTGTTTTGTCAATTTGAATTAATTGAATTTGAACAAAATTACTCCTCCTAATTCGATCCTTAGAAAAGAAGATATGCATGTAATCTTCTGACTTTTTAATATTTAAAATGTACAGGATAATGACACGTCATGGTATTATTCCTCTTGCTCCCGTGCACTATCCACAATAGACTGTAGAGGTATTTCCCAACAATGCATTACAGTATCAGTGGCGGCGCCAGCGGTAGGACAGGGGGCTTAAGTCCCCCACCGGACAGGTCAAGTTCCCCCCCCCACCAAAATATTTTTTTATAAGCGCCGCTCTGGAATAATCGCCGTACTGAAGCCTCTAAAAATTATATAAGCGCCGCAGCGCTTATTTGAGCATTTACGGTCTGTGTTTTTTTTTTTTTTTTTGGCCTTATGTTAAACTACACTGTGATGTTTCTAAATCTTTGTAATGAAGAATCTTATCTTAGCCATTTGTTTTGCTAGCATGTTCATGGGTAATTACCATAATGAGGCTGCTGAAGATAAGATAAGAAAGTTCAGTTATAGTTCATTCAGAAATCTTCATTGAAATTTAATTACATAATTTACTTCAGACTTACTGTATGTTAATCAAAACTAAAGTATATTAAATATACTTTGGCACACACATATTTGGAATATTGGATGTTTTTTTTAAAATAAGTGCATGACTATAGTTTTAATATTGAATAATATAATACAGAATAGCAAAGGTATACAGTTCAGTAATGATAATATACAGTTTTTTTTTTATAAGAACTCCATGTTCTTAATTTTTGGCCAATTTCAAGCTCAAAATTTTCTTATTTTGTTCTTGTTTTACATACCGTACTTTTCAAATATAGAAAATTATAATTGTACAGAAGTATATTACTGTACTGTATTATAGATGGTATTACATAACCACACTATACTGTACATACTCAAAGGTACAGATAGGATTTGTTTGTTTTTCTATTAAAAAAAATCATTTCACATTTTACCTCAACCTCAATTTGTTCTTATTTTGCTCTTAATTTTTTTTAGCAATTTCAGTCTCAGTGTTCTTATAAAAATGTGTTCTTATAAAAAAAATAGTATCTATCTAATCCTGAGTTTGTATATGGAAAACACCTCAAAAAATGTATTACATGTTCCTACTGCACACATGTACATTAAAAAACCACCATAATTCGCTTCCATTAATTTGTGATAAGCATTACACTCGATTTATGCACCTTGCTTATTACACAACACTTATTGCATCACACAATCAGCTAATATTAATAATATTGGTAGTGGTACTGTACCTTATGAAGTACATTTCAACTTACTATTAGCGTTTTCACTAAGTGCATTTTAAATTTATTAAGCCGGGAGAGATACGATGGTTCTTATGATGTAAAGTAGTATGCAAATATGTTGCAATTAAAGTACTGTACTGACGACAGTATTTTATCATATGAGATGGTCTAAACAACATTTTTATGTTTGGACAGTGCTTACCGTAGTCCACCTTGGGTTGGGGTCTACAGTATGTCTTTTTTGGATGGGACTTTGGCAGTGCGAATCTTGTATTTTCCATACACATGAACCACCCACCCACTTTGTTCATTCTTTCTTTCGTTTATTTTAAATATTTCAAGAGGATGTCCTACTCAGCGATACTGTAACAGTATTGAGCTATTATTGTAAAGTTTGAGCGCAATAATTATTTGAAAATGATTGCGCAAAGAAGCAATGTTGTCTCAAAAATTGCAGTGTCTGAAGGAAATATTTGAAGGTAATACTATTCCTCTGAGTCATTTTCCAATAATCAGTGCCTGATAATTGTTCTACTAGAGCGCAATTTTGAGCATTTACTATACAGTACACATTAAAATGCACTGTGTACTGTAGCCATCATCATGAAAAAAAATGGTGAAGGTTAAATTATTACTTTGCAAAAGGTCAGATTTTAGATCTGTTCTACAATGTCTTTTAGGAGCTGCATTATTAACACGTAATGTAAGCTTACTGCTGTAGTGTTCTTAAAATGATATGTGATATCATAGCTGTATAGTTTAAGTCGCCGGCACCAAGACGAGACACACTGTACTGAAAACAGTTGTTTAAATACATTTTTTTTTTTTTTGTTAAATTAATTCTAGATCTCAAAGTAAATCATGCATATCAATGCAATAAATGAGCATATGACTTTCAACAGTTTTAATAAAAATAAAATGAAATTAAAGTTTTTTTATGCATTTTGTTTTTCATAAATTTTATCAGGGTTAATTCCAAGCATGTACAGTATCCAATCCTCTAGTACAGTAACTGTAGGCCAGGATCTCTATATTCAGCACACTGGATAGATCATTTACAAAGGGATTTATTTCATATGGCTGACTCCAATATTCTGTTCTTGGTTTAGTTTTCTTCATTCATTTCAATCTCAGTTACAGCATTTTATAATGTTAAGGGAAGGGACATTCAAAGTTACTGTGTAAAAATTCTTGATTTGAAAAATGCAGTGAATAAATGGTATTATATGCATGCAATTTCAAATTTTAGTAAAATATAAATTACAGACCTATAAAATTTTAAAATGTATACCATGAACTTTTAATAATAATAACACAGATTGAAAAGAAAATGTTTTCAGAACAGATCACTGAAGGTCATGGTTTAATAAAGAAATTGAATGGTACCCATTGGCAGATCCAGAAATTTGAAATAGTAGGAGGCCCAGGGAGGGAGGGCCTGTCATAGACGGAGAGTATAGACCACTTCGGCCCCAACCATGGTGACAATTTATGTTTATGGGGCATCTAGATTGCTGGAAGAGGTACTCTCAGACCTAAATTTCGTATAGATTTTCCTTTTCTCTCCATTTTACAGAATACAGTATGTAATGAAAAATTTAGGGGACCTGAGCCGGCTCAAGGCCCCCCCCCCCACCACCCTTTGAATCTGCCACTGGTACTGTAGGCCTAATGTACAATGTACAGTATGATTATTGAAATGGTATTATTCAACATGAATTGGCGAGAAAAAGTTGTACATTAAGCAAAATTTAATAACAACAAAATTTAAAATTATAATTGATTAATTAGGATATAATC